CATGCACCCCTATTTCATTCTAGCCTGCAATAGGTGGATCCAGACTTTTGCTGAACTGCTCCTCAGATGGTTTTGGAGAGGTGGGTAAAAAACAGTTCTGATTTTTCACTGGAATAAGAAGCTGAGGCATGTTCCTTACTGTCTCATTAATCTAGAGTTGTGGAAATCACTCATGGACCCAAGAATGTTGCTTGTCCACACTACACCAAAAAGTTGTGAGCTATGTTAGTCAAGGTGTTATGCAGTGTGTGACTAACTGGAGACAAAACCTCGGATCAGGACAGCAGTATTTGAACACCATGCTTCCAGGGCTTGTGACTCTTGTTTCTTCATAATGCCAGCTTGCAAGCCTCTATGCCTTGCTCCTCAGCTGTATATAGAGGCTGAAAGCTCTCTGTGAGGGCATATAAGATTAACATTTTGCTGCTACTGTAGCTTCTAGCAGTGCCTGTTCACAACGTGGATAAAAAGCCAAGATTCCAATCCACAAAATGTTTGAGACGTTTAACCAAGTTGCTCAGAAACTGGAGTTCACTTTGTTCACAGAATGATGATGTGTGAGAGATAGGTATTTTTCAATGGACAGGTCAGGAAGCTCCATTTTATAAGTTAATAAGTTAATGAGACAGATACATTAAATGATTAATTTCTCTATCCATTTAAAGAAAACACTTTAACACATTATGATGTGACCAGTGGCAGAATACGCTTTGTCATGTTATTCATGAGATCCTGTGAGAAAAGTCTGTGCTGGAGCAGATCTGGTGGTGGATCTGATTTTGCTTTGACTCACTCTCCCACATTTTGCTGAAGCTGTAGAAGAAAGTGGTGTGATATTTGACTTACCATCAGAATGATTAGGTTCAATACAATGAGATATCTAACTTGTTTAGTGGGTTTATTCCACCATTTTCCTAAATACCACTGCCAGTTTTTGTCAGAGATTATATCTAACTAGTCTGCTTGGCAGAGAACAAGAGGTCAAATGCTCATCTGGTGTAAATCAACGGTACCTCACTGATATCCATAAAGCAGTAGAGCTGCCCTGGTTTACACCAGCTATCTGGGTTCAGGGTTTGTGTTGAACCATGTAAAGTTTTTTGAGGCATTTCCAGTTGCCTCGAACACATTTATGTTCAACACCTCAGTCAGAGAGCACTGATAATCTGTAGAAGTTGACCTTGAATGCTTTTTTTACTGAGAAACTGATGTAGGGTGAGAGTGTGCCTTTTGTAAGGTCTGGGAAACATATGCAAGCTGCTTTGGCAGAAATCCAGTTCTTTTGTAACTATCTAATCCTGAATGAAAATCTTCTCCGTAAGATGCATTCCTCTTCTGTGAAAGTCTTCTGCAGATGCTCATATTCCCTTCTTTTTTTTTAAAAAAAAAATCTCTTTATTTGTCCTGATATCCCTAGAACAGCCCCACAAGGTTCTCTAATTAAAAAAGAAATAACTATTTAAAAACTTTCATCTTGCTACTTTATTTTATGTACTGTAAGCATTTTTCAAGTTTGCATGAAGCTTGAAACAATTTTGTCGATTGTAGTATAGAGGGGAAAAAAAAAAACAGAAGAACCAAAATCTTGTTTTTCCTGAATGAAAAATTTTATTCACCAGTAAAGATTTCTGATAGTCCTTAGAAATAGAAGTTCAGCATGACTCTATATCCCAATGTAGAGAAAAAGTGAGAAGTCTAGGAGGACTTCACAACACGACTTTGTCTTGGGCTTTCTGTGAGTTTCCACTAGAAAGCTTCACAACAAACACCCACGTGGCAAATACTTAATTCACAACATAGTGTGAAACTGAATAAATTTCACTTTAATTAGCTTCCTAAATCATGGAATACTGTGCAGTTTTTACTTATTTTTATATAAATAGAAAAGAGCATACTCAGTACTCTGCTGCTTGACACCATTAACTCAAAGAATTTTTTTAATATCTTTGGAACAACTTTACTTGTATGTTTGTATCTCCTCACAGATAGTCCTCTTCTATCTTTTGGAATTAGAATAAAAAAAAATCAATACTTTTATAGAGACTTGCAGCATTTCAGTTCCAAAAAGATGTCGTAAATAGTTTAGTGTCTGAGTATGAGATTGAAAAATAACAAAAGAATATGCTTCTGAAGTTTTTGATCTTATTGTGAGCTTTGAAATTTTCTGTGTGGTGAATTCATTAAAAAGATACAAAATATAAGCTCAAGATCTCAGATTTATTTGGTGCTACAGAAGCCTTCCATTCCAGGAAGAGATATATATCAAACATCAGCCCAAATAATGCCGTGCTTATTGTAATTTCTTGAATACTGCGTAGTTAACATTCAAATGAAAACAATTTTTTTTTAGAGATTTTACTTTCTTTTTTTCCAGTCTTTGTTTACAGCAATCAAGTTATGTAATATATAATTCAGAATTTGCACTAGACACAACCAGTAAAATGTGATGCAAATTAAAGGTGGGCAAACCGATTCAGACACAGGATGAACAAGCCTGAATCTCAAATGAGAATTTACTCTCAGATGCTCAAAATGTGCTTTCAAATTTAGAATGCTTATTCTTTCACTTTCAGTCACTTTTGTGTTTCTTTATTCTGAAACAGCCATCAAGGACAAGAGAACAGATGTCGTAAAGCATGCTTTCTTAGAAGACTCTTTCCATCTGTCTCTTTTAACTTTGGTTGCCAGCCTTGCTCCAGTATTCATTTCTCTCTCCCATTTAGTACTTTATTTTTCATTATCCCTGTTTCCATACACTCAGTCCTCCACCTTTGTTAATTTACATCATCTTGAGATTCAGGGAGCTGGGAATTATACATATTCCTCTCGTTCTTTGAAAAATTTTGAACACATCTGTCCAACTCTAATCCCAAATGTTTTCTCCTATTTTATTTCACTGAGACCATTAACTGTGGCTCATGAGTGCCTTTTCCTATTTCACAGAGTGTTAAGTGATATTCACAATGTGATATGTACCACACACGTTTCATTTTTTTATTCCATTATCTCCCTAAAGGAAAAATGTAGGGAAAGTACTTTGTTCATTTGTTTGCTTAATATAATGATGTATTTAAAGTGAATGGTATGCTTTTACATTTTAGGAGGTAATAATTTACTTTGTTCTTCAGTTGGAAAATCTGAGCACTTCTGATGCTTGGGGTATTATGTGATATCATACACTATAATGAAGCTTTATCTGTGGTGCTGACCTAAGTGTGCAAAGGAGATAGCACTGGAACTCAAGTCCTGGAAACTCCTGGTGGAACAATTGAGAGCCAGCTTTCAGAATGCTATAAAATCTGATCTGCTGCTATGGTATGATCAAACATACCACGTCTCACGCTACTTTCATGTCAGTATTCATCAAGTTACTCAACACAGATTAGTCAACAAGCAATATCTTATTTCTGCCACTTGAGAGCACCTTGTATAAAAATAGACTAGAAATTATCAATGAATGTGATGCCTTATCCCTGGGAGAAAAGAAATATGTAGTACTTGAAGAAATGGTAACTTTCATGAATATTGGTTCAAATGTACAAACATGGATTATCCCAAAATCTGCAAATGCTTAAGAGGATCAATAGTGTCTGTTACGTAAGAGAATCCAAGAAGAAAGGGGACAAATGAGGAGTAGAAAGAATACAGAGAATAAATAACCTTTCTTGCTCCCATCACCCTGAAAACTTCATTGTGTGAGTGAGGAAGGCAACTGTCTCCTAGACTATATCCAGACCAAATTTTTAAATTTTGCCCACAAAGTCCTGCTTCCTTTTGTCCTAATACTAGGAAGTTTAGTGGTATTGAATGGCACTTGGTATAATAAGTCAATTATTCAACTCTTAAGACATTTTTTACAACTTTCATTTAACAAACTGACTGTATAAAGGAATTATCACAGAAGGTAAAATTTCATGAAACCTTTTGAAAATCTCCCTCCTGTCTTCATTGAGGAGCTCCATAACCAGAATTGAAAAAATGGTTTGAGAATATTTCATTCTCTCTACCTGAAAAGAATCACAGCAAACAAAGATGCATCTCAGTACCAAACTCAGACTAACACTGAGGCAGTGTTCACTCAGTTTAGGTAACATTGTGTGAATATTCAGCATTCATGGAAACAAAACACATGGAGAATATCAAAGCTCAAGTTACCAAACTATTTGCAGCTCAGATTCATGGTGGGTAACTCTATGGGCATTATCTATCTCATTTCTCCTTACAGGTACAGAACTGCAGATGCAGTAGTTTTTCCTTTCCAGGAAGAGCTCTTTTCATCTGATTCCAGCTCTGTTGATTGGTGGGCCCCAAAGGGACAGAGCAGAAGTTATACCACATATGAACAGATGAAATGGGTTAACTGCTTCAAAGTAGAGTACTTAGCGTTAGTCAAGTTTGGGGAGGGGGCACATGGGGAAGAACTGTACTTGCAGGCAGTGGGGAGCTTGAAAGCGTTACCTGGGAAACATAAGTTTCTTTGTAGAAAATCAAAATCATCCTTTCTATCCCAAACAGCCAGCACACACATTCAATGCAGAACAGTCATGTGTTCAGGTGCCCGGGACCAAAGTAATCACTCAGGATCAGAGCTATGCAAAAAACTCTGCCACAAACCTGGCAAAAAAGCACAACTTAACACTTTTGCAATACAGCAAGGCATTTTTTCATCCTTACCTCAAATATTCTGGTAAAAATCAAAGTTATTTTTTCTTCACTACCATTAAGCCCAGGTAAACTGCAAATTCATAATTCAGTAGGAAGGAAGTGGACTCTCATTTGCGAAGAAATTCTGCTGATTTGAAAGGAAGAAGGCTTCAAAACTCATGTGAAATACAAATTCCAAAAATGTTTCAAGTCAGATGCTATATATTATTTAGATAAAAATTCTGGTTAAGAGTTCACCATGTTTAACTTTTGATTTTTAATACAAATAGCAACAAAATTATTTCAGCAGGAGAAATTTTCAACATTGTTGAAAATCTTTATTTTGTTCTTTTCAGAAAAAAGAAGTCTAATTCAAGTGTACACTTATTTAGCTTTACATGAAAATGACGTTCTTCTCTGAAGATTTATTTTGTCAAAAATTCTTATCAATACCAATTCCCAAAAGATGTATCTGGGTTGTTGTTGTTTTTTTTTCCTGAGAAAAAAGGTAAGATATTTAACCATGCCAGTCATAGTTTCTTTATTTCTGGACTACAACAAAGCTCTTTGGCTTCTATATGCTGAGTGATAATTAATTGTATTTAAATTTAGTCTGATCTGCTTAACATATTAGAACTATTTCATTCCTGATCTTCCTTCACAACTGATAAGTGTATTTTTTATCATTAACAATTGTAACATTTAGCCAATTATATTGCTCGTTTTCTCACCACAGTGAGAAAATTATTTCCACTAAATTTATAGGCCTTTTATTAGCAATTATAACACAGTGTATTTCCAACATATATTATCGTGAATGTACATGCCTCTTCACAATCATTTCTGCAGAACATGATCCGGAATCATAGAATGGCTTAGGTTGGAGGGGACCTTAAAGATCATTTAGTCCAACCAGCCAGCAGGGCTGCCCCTCACCATCTCAAGCTGTCCAGGTCATCCATCCATCCCTCCAGGGATGGGGCACCCACAAATTCTCTGGGCAATTGTGCCAGTGCTTCACCACTCTGAATAAATAATTTCTTCCTTACATCTAACCTAAACCTCACTTTAAGACATTCCCCCTTTTTCTATCACTACGTCTGTGTAAAAAGTCTGTCTCCCCTCTGTTTGTAAGCCCCCTCAAGTACTGCTGCAGTGAGGTCTCCCCTGACCCTTCTCTACTCCAGGCCAAACAAGCCCAGCTCCCTCAGCCTTTCTTCATAGTAGAGGTTCTCCAGCTCTCTGATCATTTTATGGCCCTCCTCAGGACCTGCTCAACTGGTCTGCATCTTTCTCCTGCTGGAGGACCCAGGCCTGGGTGCAGTATTCCAGATGGGATCTCATGAGGGCAGAACAGAGAGGGACAATCCCCTCTCTTTCTCTGCTGTCACCCCTCTTCTGATGCAGCCAAGGATACTGTTGACCTTTCAGGGTGCAGTGCACACTGCTGGCTTACGTTCAGTTTTTAATCCATCAGGATCCCCAAGTCCTTCGCTGCAGGGCTGCTCTCAATGAGCTCTTCTCCCAGTCCATGCTCATATCTGGAATTGCCCCAACCTAAGTACAACACCTTGCACTTGGTCTTGTTAAACCTCATTAGATTCTCACATGCTCATTTTTTGAATGTGCGCAGGTTTCTCCAGACAGCATCCCTCCCTTCTTTTGTGTCAACTGCACTACTCAGCTTGGTGTAATCAGCATATTTTTTGAAGGTACTCTCAATCAATGTCTATGCCATTGTTAAAGTTGCTGAAGAGTACTGGTCCCAAGATGAACCCCTGAGGGACACCATTCATGAAGGGCCTGCACCAGGACACGGAGCCATTGACCACAACTCTCTGGCTGTGGCCATTCAACCAGTGATTTATCCAATGAACAATCCACCATTCAAATACATATCCCTGCAATTTAGAGATAAGAATGTGGTGGTGGACCGTATCAAAGGTCTTGCACAAGTCCAGGTAGATGATACCAGTTTCATTTCCTTTGTCCACCGATGCCATGGCACTATCGTAGAAGGCCACCAGATTTGTGTACTTTAACTACAATTTGAGGTAATATCAATACATTTCTAAGTAACTTATTCTACCTTTTAGTCTGATATCATCACTATTTCATCATCATGCAGAACCTGTTACCTTGCATTTGATTAATGCCTGTCATTCATTCTGGCACGAAAAATAAGCCAGATCCCTATTGGTAGTTTGAAAAACTATGTTCTTCACTGTTAAATTTATTCATTTAGGGATAATGATGTTGTTTATGTTTCTTCAGAATACTTATTTCTCTTTTTCAAATATGGTGTGCTTTTGTTGCCAGAAGATGTCATATAAGCCAAATTCAGTGCTGTGTTTTGTGCTTTCCTGTGGAAGCTACACTGATGGCAGTGGTCTCTGAAGGGTTGGTTTTTTTTTTTTCATTTTCTTTGTATGTTGCGTGTAATTTTTTTTGTTGTTGTGCATTTTCGTAAAATTATGGTTTGGAGTGTAATACATGAAAATAAATAGCTGAGCAATGTTTATAAAAAATAAACAAGATAAAAGTAACGTCTTTGAAAAGGGGGAGGAAGTAGAAATTCTGACAAATATTTCATGACTATTTTTTGAGAACAGTTGGTTTAAATTTCCAAATAACTTTTGTTTCAAAGGGGCAGTATCAAAACACATGCGAAAAATAAAATTCTAAATAAGGCACAATAAATTATTTCACTGCTTAGGTATTGGATTTCAAAGGGAGAAGAGAGTATGCACAAGGATATTAGAGTGGACTATATTGTATCTTTGGGAATTGCTGTCAAATATTGATGAAAATAGAGAGACTGTCAGAGATCAGATAAAAGAAAGAAATGATTACATTTGGAAGAACAATGTGAAATGTGTGGCCAACAGAGATTTCAAATGTAAGCTAATAGCAATCCACCAAAGAACAAAGCTGGAGGAAGTCCCACATATTCAGTCGCATTTACAGTCAGTTAGCATATGTAAAAATGTTACGGTGCATTTTCCCTCATTTGGAACTCACAAAGTACTCGGTTCAGTAGATTTGACTATGGCAAATAGTTACAGTATATTGCCAGGCATCAGAAAGTTGGAAGAAAAAGTGACAAACACTGTTTAGGTCATTTTGTTATAACATTACTTTTCAAAATACTAACACAACTTTTGGGCTTTCCAGAATTTAATCAAGTTATGAAAAGAAAACGCTTACTGCTTTTATATATTACATATGGCCTCATGAAGAAGTTCAGGTCCTTCAGATGTTATTTTCATGAGTATCATGGTACCTGGACGTAGGATACACAGTGTCTTGTTTTGAAATGCTTGATTGCAGTAAAATACCAAAAGCCATGGCAGAAAGGTCTGTTAACACAGTGTTTTCTTCTGGAGTGACCCCTCCTTTCCAGAAGAGTATTTTAAACAAAGTCTCTAAACAGCAAATTTCCACACTTCGCTGCAAACGTCAAAAATTTCAACAACTGGCAAATCAGCGTTTCCTAGGCCTACATAAAGATTTATTTGCCAAGTTTTTAAGTTTACATATAGAACTACAAAATCTTTAATCTTTAAGTGTAGTAAAACAGGAGTATGGATTCTCTACGCACAGACAGACCTGGGTAGCATTACAAGTTCACTTAAAAGTATGATAGTCTTTTCTGTAACAACACAGCACTGCAGGTTTTACATAGCTTCAAATATTTCAGGGCAATTTTACACATCAATTCTTAGATATGTTTAGTTTTGTTTAAAAGGGCAATGAACTTTGTGTTCTGTGTTCAGATGTTTGTTATATTACTTGTAAATCTTGAGCAACTCTGTGGATTTCAGTACAGTTCTTGTATACATAAGTGTTGTAACTGAAATCAGTGTGGTCTTCCATTTATCCTGGAGAGAGATTGCAACCTATCCTTTCACTGTAGCAGCTCTTAGATCAAAATTTTTATTTGGAACCTCTGCTCATGGGCACTGCAAAGATGACTACTCCCCTAGATTGAAGATGAGATGGGATTCTCCAATCTGTTCCTTCGGGTTTGAATCTGGAATTTCATTTTTCATCTTATCTTTACTGCAGTAAAAATGTAAAGAGAGAATGAAGGTATCACAATATAGAAACTGTCATCATCGTATTGCTCTTTTCCCCATATTTCACACTGTTCTTCTAAATGTAATCATTCCGTTTTGTGATCACAGGGATGTTTCACTTGCATGTGCTTCAAAGCCTGGCTCAAGCTGGGTAAATCCCTAAGGAAATGCAAAACAAAATAAAGACGTGGCCCCAAGGGGAAATTCTTTGACTGCTGCATTTGGATTTTAAAAAAGTTGTGATAACATCACCTGAAAGATTCAACACTGGTGATATTTGCCATGTGATCTTTATCAACAAGCGTATCATAAATACACAGATACAGACCTAATTATAGTAATAATGTTTCTCAGCCACGCTCCTCAGTCCTGCTAGAAGTGAAAAAAAAACAGCCAACAGAGCATTTGGAGAACAGAAGGTACGACCATAGCCCATCAGAAACGCAGATAAGAGGGCTTGTACTGAAAGTGCATGTGATGACAGTAGTGTGTATTATACTAGTATCAAAATCACCTTTTGATCTGCAGAACTGCTATCTGCATCTGCAAACATAACAAGAAACTGGATTTTAGAGGAAAAACAAATATCTTAATTTCTAATAGCTCTACATGCTGCTCCCGAAGGTGAACAGGGGGGCTTTGATTCTCAGCACCAAACTGATAAATCAGTTCTAGGTGGTGCCAAGATCCAAATGGAAAACAGTAACATCCCAACTTATAGCCATATGTATCAGTTATGGAAAGTAACATCTCACAGGTTATAGAGAGGATGAACTTGGAGAAAACAGTAGTTCCCATGAAGTTTTTTTACAGGAAAATTTAGGTAGACTTGGAGTTATTCTGAAAATCACTGCTTTAATAAAACTCATTTTGTTTACCAAGTTTGGTCTCCTCTCAGGTTTCAGCCTCACAAGAAGTATCTCAGATTCAACATGTAAATACAATTAAAGTTATGACACAAATGCACTGATGCCAACGGGTTTTAAAGGAAGGCATATGGCTCCCTGCTTTGAATGATGTTCCCTTGGTTTGCACAGCATTATTTTGTTGTCTTTTAAAATGTAATTTCTTATTTTGTTTATGTTACAGTAGACTGAAAAAAAGGATCTGCTGTTGAAGCTTATAAAAGAACTAGATTTTGCTGGAGAAGCTGGTGATATGATCGTTTACTGATTTCATTTGGGTTGCATACATATAACAAAAAGCAGAATTCAACAGTCCGTCCCTTGCAGTGAGAATGTGCAGACATACCAAATGTCATAAATGTTCCCAGCTGGAATTGAGACCTATATTTTTCTCATAAGGACAGCACATAACTTGGGAACTTTGTCCTTAGCTCAGAGCTGGGTGGCCTAATTCCTTCTGTTTTAGGTTTCAGACCAAAATCAATGTGTACATCTGAGTCGTAAGTGCTGAGAAATTTTGGCTCATAGTGGGAAAGATTACAACTAGACCAGTATTAGTGGTATAGGAGGAGCTGACAGCCTTGTGCACTCCCACTGAGTGATTCTTGGACCATTTCTAAGAAAAAGGGTTTTCAGCAGGCACTCTTGCCAGCAAAAGGAGAAGATGGGCAAGATGACTACAAGCTTTTGCAAATATGATTTTGCTTGCAGCCATACTACTTTATTGAATTCTTCAAAACTCATCTAAATGAAAGACGAGGAGATTCAAATACATGTTTCTGGTTTAGACTGCCTCTGCATTGAGGGAATTTTGCTTGTACTTTCTCTTATTAGTGATATTAAATTATTGCCTGAACAGCCATGTCAGAAGTTGCCAGAGAAAATGCAAAGTGCCCTTTCCTTGACTGTGTTCTAGCTAGGGGAAAATGCAAAGCCCATGAGCTGCCAGAGCTGCTCCTTTCCTCCTGGCCAGTGAGCAATTTTTGGCTAACAGGGGTGCGGAGTAACCTTCTAGACCCCTCATGGAGGAAGCAACAACAGTGCAGTTTCTGATTAGAAGTGCAGAGGCTAGAAAGTGTGACATTGAAGAGTGGCAAGCAGAAAGATTCTAAGCACTGGTAGTTCATGTTTGTGAAATATTGGTTTAGCACAAAGTCAGTAGTATGTATACTTACAGAACTAGTGATGTGTCTCTGCTTCATGAAGTATAGATGTTTCAGGATTGCAAAGTGGCTTATTTTGTCAAAACAAGGAATTAAGTGTCTCTCTGAAAGACAGAGACATGGTGGGGAGAAGTCTCATACACAGGGGGGCATTAGATCTGGTCTTGACACACAGCAGTCAAATGGAGTTTGTGCATGTTCTTGACCTTCTTCCTTGGTCACATTTAACCAGAAATGTTTCAGTTTCCCTTAAGTTTCATCAGTCACAGACAGTGAATATATTTTCATTACATTTGAAAACTAGAGCAGTTCAGGGTCACCTCATGCCTGTAGATCATACACTGTAGGAATTAACCAGTCTGGGACAGCAGTGATGTAGCAGTTGTAGAACATACCACTTGATGATCCAGCTACAGCATGCATACCACCTCGGTGTGTGCTCAGAATTGCCTGAAGAGCACTAGGTAGTTTGCATCACGCAAGCAAAGCTGAAATGTCTTTCCCCCTGCTCAGAGGACTTCAGGCAAGAATAATATATTGTCACTCAGTGCTCCTTAGTGTGATTCCACATTATTCCCTCTTGAGTCAGACTGCATGATTTGGTCCCTCTCTCTGAACTGCAGAGATTACCAATGAAAACACAAATTGTTGTGAAGATTGTTTGATAAGATTTTATTTACATACTAGCAGCAGTTTCTCAGAATTGTAAATAAAATTAAACAACACATTAATTTTTCTGCCAATATCTGAGTTCTAGTGCTATTCAGTCTTCAACTCTACAGCAACAAATCCAGCTTAAATAGAAAATACCATTAACTTTAAGTAATTTACATAGTAGTTACTTTACCCAGATGAGTATTTCTTCCAAAAGAAGGTCACAAATGTATTGGTAACTCTTTATTGTTTGCAGTAAATTGGGAAGTTCAGTCTGCACACAATAATATTGAAAGGGATTTGCAAAGCATTATTAAAAAGACACTAGTGTCAAAAGACTGTTCCATAAAAACACATGCACTAAAACCTTCAGCATTAATTGAATCATGATTGTGTTTTGGCAATGCTGAAAACCTGGCTCAGCTGTAACTCTGATGATTCATTAGTGCTAATTAATGTTTTTTCCAGGCTAGTAACAAACTAAAGAGAGACTGTTTTTCTCTACTGATCATTCCACAGTTACAGTAATGGTTTGATTTATGTATCAGCCACTTACTGCTCTATTTCATTCATTCCTAAACCAGTTTCAAAGGGATGGAGAATTCTCACACTCAAGTTTAAAACAAGCAAACAAACCATTGTGTTTTCTCTCAATACTGCTAAGCAACAACACTGGGTTTCCTAGGGCTTCCTGCCCAACCTGCCCAGGCTCCTCTCCCCCAGGAATCAAAGAGCATCCTTTCCCTTCCCAATCCCAACTGGCTGGGTTGGGCTGGCAGTGGGTGCAGGGCTACCAGTTGTGGGCAGCCAGCTGGCCAGTGGCTCTTGGCAGGGTCCTTTCTATCCCCTGCTCCCTCCTCTGGTCTTCACTGCTGATTTTCCCAAAAATGCCTCACAGTTTCATGCAGGCAGTTCAAGCTGAGGGCACAATTGTATCTTCAGACCTACACCGTGGACCTGAACTTCAATATTATTCTGCTCTAGGATCTACAGGGTAGATTTCGGCTCCAATATTTTTCTCTCTCTACAGGCACAAAAATGTGTGTGCCAGCAATAGCATAAAAAGTGTAAATGCTGCAAAAATATGTTACCATTTCCTCTCACTCTGCTGCCCAGTTTAGAAATTTGGCTGCAGGCATTCACTGCAGTTTGGAATTTTCTTTTAATATCATTTTTCTGCAACTGTTTTCTTTTACATTTTTGAAACATTTTTAGTGCTCAGGAAATGTCTTAGAAGGGGAGCCTGGAAACAGAAGCACTTTGCTTACACATAGATCAAGAATAGGGTGAGCAGTGCCCCATCCTGCCAAAGAGCTTCAGTCAAGGGTGATCTTCTTAGTGGCTGAGAAAATATTTCGAGCTTCATGCACATTCAGTTCTTGGCCACTTTTGGCTGAGCAGTGACAATTCAAGTGTTGTGA